TCTGTAGAGTAACCACAGCTGAGACAGGAAACCTCCCTAGTCCTGCCAGGTCCACCTGTGCGGCTGCATTCCTCTGTCACAGCAGTAAATAACAGGAGCAGAAATACTTGGAATCAAGTGCAAGTGCTACAGAAGTGCCTGGAGAAGAAGTCATGGGACAGCCCACCAAGCTGAAGTCCACCTGAGAGAAGTGACAGTTTCTTCTGCAAAGGACTATGTAAGGCTACACTCATTTATTAACAAGCAATTAGCAGAAAACCACAGAACTGGAACAGAAACACACCAGTCAGCCAGAGCAAACTCCCAGTGCTTGTACAAGACAAGGTCCCACAGTGGTCTAAAGCTCAGGCTGGTCAGTGCCCCACTGCAGATGAGACCCATGGAAGCCCCCCTGAGCACACTCATCCTTGGCAAGCAGCTGTTCTCCATCTCTCATTTCTGAAGGCTATGGTCTCATCAGGGAACACTCAGTCCTTCTCACAAACCTCTCTGAAGTGATCTGCCTAAAATGTGGAAGGAGCCTTTTATGCAAGTTCATCTTCTAATTATCTTCCAGTCAAAAGCATGGCTGCACTCGAGGACAAGGTGCAGAATTAATTCCTTATGAGCTTGTGAATATATTACCTTCCCTGAAGCAGCTGGACAGGACACACAGGAGGCAGAAGGCATTGGAAACATGGAATCATATGCAGGGCCAGGAATTGGACTTGACATCCAAATGCTCCTTCTGGGTCTCTCCCCAGTCCAGGAGATTCTGTGATTCTGATTTTCTCCATGTGGGTGAGAACAGGCCTTAGCCCAGGTGACACCACCATTTCTTGGGATGGAGGTAATGGCAAGATCTGTAAATCATTGAGCTCAGCAATGCAGGTGAACACATTGCCAAGCTACATCCCAATCCCAACACCCCCCTGTCCCCCCATGGGCCTTTTCTGTTCTCCACTGGGTTCCTAAAGGCACAGAAGGCTTTGCTCAGGTACCTGTGACCAGTGTGATCCATGGGGGATTACAAACCTGCCACGAGAGACCGAGCCCACAGGAGCAGATTCACTGTGGCATTTGGACTAACATTCACACAGCTTGTCAAGGTCTGTGTGCAAGCTTTCACATCCCAAATTCCCGCAGCCGAGTCACGGAGGGCTGCTCCAGCTAGCAGCAGGGGGGTCACTGCTCTGGAATCACAGCCGGTGAGTCAAGGCAGGAGAATGCAATAGTCACATACTGTGTCACTCTGTTTTATAACTGATGAAAGCCCACAGCCAAATTAGCAAAGAAATCAAGAGGTTGTTAAGAGAAGGGTCCAGCGATGAGGCCGCTCTGTGATTGCACAACTCAGTGCATCCAGAGCAAAAGGAAAATGTTGCTGGCCAGAAAGAACCAAAGGGGGAGATCCCAAGGGAGGAGCAGGCTCGTCGTGGTGGATGCACCCTCGGTGATGCCGTCAGCAAGGGTGTGTTATCTGCTCTCCCCAATGAGCAGACTCACTGAAGGTCCCACCAAAGAGCACAGAACAGCAGTCGAGGCTGGAAATGAGGAAAATTCCAAGCACATGAGCAGCATCCCTGATCACGGCCTTGCCCCTCCAGTCAGGGCTGGGGCGTGCAGAGCACACCCTGCCAAGGAGGCTCCAGACAGGGAGGAGGCAGCCAGGAGACAGGGCTGGAAACTGAAGCTGCCTTTACTCTTTGTCCACCTTTCCTATAAGATGGGTGAATTCAGAGCACAGGACACTGAACGCAGAAGCCCACTGTGACTGCTACTGTCATCCTGACTGATCAGTGTTTTTCCCAAAAGCAGGTGACAACAGCTCACACATCACCTCTGCAGCCATCCTAATTAAATGCAGACAAGAGGGGTCTGCCCCTTTTAACAGCAAAACAGGGCAAGCTGGGCACTGCTCAGAAGCTGGCAGAGTAGGAATGCTGGAGAAGAGGTTTAGACAGGCTGTCAGGAAAAGGTTCTTTCCCCAGAGGGTGGTTGGGCAGGCTCACCAGGGAATGGCCATGGCCCCTTGGCTGCCAGAGCTACAGGAGCCTTTGGACAAGGCTCTCAGGCACGGGGGGGATTGTAGGGGTGTCCTGTGCATGGCCAGGAGCTGGAGTTGATCTTTGCAGGTGCCTTCAGCTGCGGGTACTCTGTGATTCCATGAACCCCCCTGCCCTGTGCCAAGAGCAAGCACAGGTCACAGGTGCTCCTGGCCTGCACAGCTGGGCCCACTCAGACACCTCAGCACAGCCCCACTGCTCCCAGCCACAGCCCCACACATCAGTGCTTGGGAGGTGCTGCTCCCCTCACTGTCTCCCCTCCGAGCAGGGGGAAGGGCAATATTAATTTATGTCTGGCCTAGCCCCACACATACATCTCCTTTCCCTAAGGGAGTCTGCTCTCATATTTAACCTCTTCATTCTGCTGGCACTGGAGGTGGATGATGCAGCTTGTGGAGAGGTGCAGGCACTTCCCTCTCCCCCTCCTGCTGGAATCTTCCTCTCACTTGTGGTCCTTGGGATTCACCCAACGCTTCTCAGGAAAAAAAGGGGAAAAAAAAAGAGGACCTCTAGACAAGTATGCATTTAATAAGCAGTGAGACAAATAAGCTCCAGTTATCCCAGCAGAATTACAACACCAGAGAACAATTTTCTGCATTCCTCTGAAGGCCTGAAGGAACCCAATTGCCTGCTCTCAGGCTAAATAGGTACCAGACACCAAGTGCTCCATAAGCAAACAGAGCCCCCAAAGTGCAAAAATGAAATAAGTAAAAAGCTTCACATTACATATAAACCAGCCGTTTGCACCTTGTTATTAATGGTCTCAACTATGACCTTTACACCCTGCCTTGCTCAGAGTCATGGATCTACGAGGCTTGGCACCCTCACAACAATTCCAGGATGAGGAGCAGGGAATAAACTTGCCTAGCCAGTGCTGGAGAGATGCAGGAAGGGAGCTGGCCTGTGACAAATCTGGATGGAGAAGCACCCCAGGGCCATCTCCATAGGAATTTGTCCCCATAACCTCAGTGACCCAGGTGTCTGACAGCAGGAAAAATCCTTTTGCCACATACATACACGCATAAAAGCTACTGACAGGCACCTATTCCAAATTTCAAAAATGAAGGGCTCCCAGCCCATGGTAAATATCTGTCAGAGATGACCCCCAGAATTCTGATCCGATTTATAGCCCACATGAACTAGGGTTGCAATGAACAGACCTTGTTACCCTGAAATATTTATTAGTCTGAGCTGCCTCACCTCTGCCACATAAAGCCTTGTGCAAAAGCTATTGTCAACCCAATGGTAAAGTCACCACAGTTCTTGTTCAAAGAAGTTACATCAATATTCATCTTGTCCCGAGTCACAATTGCCATTTTTAATGTATATATACACAGAAATGTGTATGTGTATATACACACACACACACAACATAATTGCTATGGTATTACTAAGGTATGGGTCAGGTGCAAGTCTCTGCTCCTAAGTGGCAAAGGAACACTTCCCAAAAACATGGAAAATTATAGAGAGCACTCCTTCCTCAAGAATTGCTGGCACTTCTAGAGACAGGAAGATTTTCATTACACAGCCTGCTGCCAGCTCTCCTCTCAGAACAAGCCCATCCCCTTTCTGTTACTGTTATGTCAAGGGAGGACAGTGAGAGAAAGCAGCTCTTGGGATGATACATGGGAGGCAGAGCTTCATTTATAACCCCACACAACTGCTGGAAAAGGTTCAACTTTAAAAAGCATTAGGCTGGTTACCTTATGGGCCCCTGCAGACCACGAAGTGAAATCACATGAACACAACAGGCCTATTAATCACCACAGTGATTCCAAGGTGAGAAACAGCCCCAGTGACCAACTAGAAAGAAAGTTGAGAAAATTACATTCTAGTAGTTAGGTAACTCTGAAAACACTGGTAGTATCTCTCTGCAGGGCTTCCCTTTTGATTCCTTGATTAATTCAAATATTAACTGGATTTAAGTCCAGTCAACAGAAATATACAGTGGAGAGCAAACAATGGCATTTCCACCTAAGCAAGTACGTTTCCCTTCAGAGTCACAAATAAACTACACTTGCATGAAATACAGAGGTGACTTTCTGCTTCACAGACCTTGGTTTACAAGGTAAAGAAGGATTTGAAAATAAGCAAAAAGAAAGAGAACTAATTCTTTATCTTCAGTGTAAGGAGGTATTTTAAGTCAATTCAAATGACTTGTAATTGACTGCTGAAGAGATTGTTTCAGAGAATACAGTAGGCTACAGCGAGCTTCTTCCATCCAGGATTCAGAAACTGGATTAATATACACTACCTTTGGAAGAAGCCATCAATGTCACAAACATTCACAAAGATAGTGGAGATCAAACGTGTAAAATCTCCCCAGTTCTTATTGGTAAGTGTATGTGCTTATCTGCAAAAAGCAAGATGATGGGTTTTCATGTCTCAGAATTAGCATTTATCCACAAGTCTGTGCTATTTTTATCACTTTCCCTTCTAAGAAGCCTGGGCTGACACGACTGCTTCCCTGATGCCAAGCAGCAGACCTGTGTGGGAAAAAGATTTTTGCTTTAATGGGAGAGTGGAGATGGAAGGCACACCAATTACCTCAAACCACGAGGCTGCCACAGCCATCTTTTCACCTCTGCAGTAAACAAACCCTCAGGGCTGGTCTGCATGGGAAGCAAATCCTTTGAAGAGCTTTCCACATCTCCATTCTCTTCAAGTCTTTGTAATGACAGTGAAACTACTTTGGACTAACACTTGAAGGTTCAGGTCTCCCAACAGACTCCCCTGCAGGCATCACAACACTTTGGGCAGTTTCAGAAGCCATCCTGTCTTTCAAAATGCCTTGTTTTAAAGAATAAAAGATGCACAATTAAATCTAAAGAAGTAACGTGAAATAAAGGAGTTCAACATCTCCTTGAGTAATGCAAGCTCATAAGACAGAGAAGAAACAAATTTTTGTTTGCACACTGTAATCTATATTTAACAGACACTTAAGAAGTCAACAAATTCAATGTGTTAAGTAGCAACCTTTTAATAAAGAAAGCAGAACCATACTTTGCTGTTAACAAATATTTTGAAAAAGGCTTATGAAATTAAATCTAAGCCAAGTATCTGGTGCATCTGCAGCTGAGAAGGAAGCATCAGTACTCCAAACACCTGCTCAGTTTGTGTATTCTCCTTTCTTACAGAGGAAGTATGAGCTTCCAGTTGTCCAAGTGATTTAGAGAGCAATAAACTCTTGCTCAACAAGAACTATTTTCTTAGATGATTACAGATTAAGGCCAAGGAAGAAATTCACATGCTAAGCACCATCAGCATGGAAGCTGGTCAAGGATATCAGTTTGAAGAGCCCAGATTTCTTCCTTGGCTCCCACAACTGGGGGTCAGCCAACCACCAAGTGAGGCTCATAAGAACAAATCAAACTATCATGGAAAATACACGCCAGTCACACTAGTCAGCTGATGCCAGGGGCTGGACAGCAGCAGGTCCTCAATGTGCTCCATAGTGAAGATGAAGGGTGAAAGAAGAGTCCCCAAGCACTGGAAGAAACAGAACACAACAGTAAATCATCTCAGTTTCCAAACCAACTTCCTTCTGCACTCAAAGTATGAGCAAAAACCACCCTGTGTCTTGTCCTCAGGGCAACAGAATTCCAACCCCTTCCCTGCTGATGCCATGAAACAGGCTTGTTGTAAGCACGAGATATTAATGAAGACACACAGGAGAAGAAAAGCCCTCTGGAAGCCCCAGCTGCAGCCTGGTGCACTCACCCTGGTCAGTCCATTCAGCTGGAGGCCAGAACGCTGGGAGCACTCACGGGCCACAGCAGCCGCAGCACCTGGGGGGAGCACGAGGGTTAGGGGGGCATTCCTCCACAGCACAGCTCTTCCAGGGCCAGCACTGTCCCTCAGGGCTGAACAGACCAGGCAGCAGAGGACAGTGGATTTTCAGAGAATCACAGAACTGTTTAGGTTGGAAGGGACCTTGAAGATCACCTGATTTTTTCAATATTCAGGCACAGATTATTTACAGGTCACCGACCCAAACAGAACAGCCCATCCACCAAGAGCAGTCTCTGCTTCCAGACGGGATCCATATTCTAGATGCCATCTAAACAGTTCCAGAAGTAAGATTAGGCTAAAACAAATCATGCAAACTCCTCTGCACCTTCTCAACCCATCCCCCAGATATTCCACTGGCACTCAGGTTATCCTTGTGCAAACCCTCACTTCATGAGTTAGCAACAACAGGACTCATTTACTTTGAAAGTTTTACTTTGGCCCTCCTGGCTTCTATCATAACCTCAAATATTACATTAAAAAGGCTTTTAAAACATAACATTCACAGCAGTGTAGGCGCTTTTCCTTGCAGTGGGCTTCTTCCCTGCCTGTTAGCGTGTGGCACCTTCACATTAAGTGCATGAGTTAAGATGTAGATTAGCAAGGCAAGAAACCTTTGCCCTTGGCATCGACACTCAGCTCTGACAGGAAACTTCAGGCTTTTTTTCCCTACCAAGTGTAGAACCACTCATTACACATTGGCAGGGAAGTGCACATCTCCAAACTATACACATTTTCTCTTAGATAAGCAAAAGACTCAAGTGTTTATAAATATGAAAAGTTCAGCAGCTGGCTAAAAAGTTAATTCTCCAGTCTCACTTAATGAGCTTTGGGGAAAGTGGTAGGGGGATTTGTTCTTAAAGTAAAGCAGAGTGTCACACAAAGCAGGACTTGCCAGACACAGCTCTGCTTTGCCCTATTTTCTGTCCCTAGATGGCTGCCACAGACAAAATGGCAAGGAATCCTCCAACAGGGAGCTAGGGAACAGCCAGAATGAAAAATGTTTTCTCCTAATCTTGCAACCATAAAAATTAGCCAATTTTTAATTTAAATCCCATGACTTCCTTCTTTGTTGTGAAAGTATCAAGCAATCCATATAAAACCACTTTGGAACAGGGACTGTCTTAGGATTTTGTCCAATTCCCTGAAAAAGAAACTTGTTTTCAGTAAGATACAGCAGGAACACTGCTGCACTATTTTTTCAGTACTTTAATAATAATTTACACTGGTCTATTCCAGTAACATACAGTTCTGATGTAAAAAATGGGATTGATCTGCTTGGAATTGTCCAGAGCAGCTGTGGCTGCCCCAGGCTTGGAAGTGCCCAGGGCCAGGCTGGACAGGGCTTGGAGCACCCTGGGATAGTGGAAGGTGTCCCTGCCCATGGGCAGGAGGTGGAACTGGATGGGCTTTGAAGTCCCCACACAAATCATTCTGTGACTCTGTGAAGGTATGTTCACTGTTTTCAGGAACTTGTGAGATCTCTGCAGTGCCTGCTATCACTCTGTATCACTGCTGTTCTTCGCAGGCTTCTTGGTGTCTTTGTATTACAGAAGGAACTGTGCAACCTCACTTTTGCAAGGTGATACTCATCCACCCAGTCCTCCATCTATGTAATTATTAAAACATAAAAATTCATACTGAATGAAAACAATCAGACCATTTTGTCTGCAATTTCAAAGGAAGTTGTTTTATCTAGCAGCATTTTTCAGCTTGTTCAGGTAATCGTCATTTGCATTCCTTCCTCCCTTCTGTCACTTGCTGTGAAGAATCTAAAGAGCAGCTACTTCAGAAACAGAGCTGTCTGATCATCAAGAGCAGTGTGATTCTCCAAGAGATCAGCAATCTGAATGAAACAAACAGTGAGGCCCAGGGAGCACCTGTGCTGGGGCTGCAGCTCCTGTGGATCCTCTGCCACTGCCTGTTCCACTGCCCTCGCCAGCACCAACTCACACAGTTATCATGGAATCACAGAACAGTTTGGGTTGAAAGGGACCTTAAAAGATCACCCAATTTCAACACCTTGTCAAGGGCAGGGCCACCTTCCACCACATCACGATGCTCCAAGCCCCATCCAGCCTGACCTTGCACACTCCAGGGATTCAGAAGCTGCAGCTTCTCTGGGCACCTTCATGGGCTCTAACTGCACCAGCACCTGCTCAAGGTTCTGGCAGCACCAGTCCCACACCTGCAGAGCCCCGAGGCGAGGGGAACAGCATGCAGGAGCCTAGAGAGCCCCAGGGTGAGGGGAACAGCATGCAGGAGCCCAGAGAGCCCTCAGGGTGAGGGGAACAGCATGCAGGAGCCCAGAGAGCCCCAGGGTGAGGGGAACACCGTGCAGGAGCCCAGAGAGCCCCAGGGTGAGGGGAACACCGTGCAGGAGCCCAGAGAGCCCCCAGGGTGAGGGGAACACCGTGCAGGAGCCCAGAGAGCCCCCAGGGTGAGGGGAACACCGTGCAGGAGCCCAGAGAGCCCCGTGGCGCCGACTCCAGGCTGGGAGCGCGGGGCTGATGCTGGATCACACTGTATACATTGGAACCAGCACATGCTTCCTTGTGATTTTTGGCCACTTGGAATATTTTTAGCAATTTGCCAAGGTTTACCCTGTGATTTATTATGGAGGAAACAAACTCAAGCACTAACAAATGAAAATATGTAAACTCAGACTTTTCAAGTCCATAGAAAGGTATTCAACTTCTTAAACCCCTTCTGAGGCATTCAGTTTGCTGTGGATTCAATTGCTGGAAAAAGAGTTTGATTAAGAAGTAACTGAAATGTAATCTAAGGAGTCACTGCTTGGAGATTTACAGTGAAAAAATTCCATATACACAATACTTTCCAATTGCCATTCCTAAAACAGTGTTCTAGGTTTCTTGGAAATTCAAGAGCTGGAAATACATTTCACATTGCTTTTACCTACAGCCAAAACACTCCAGATATACCAGCTAGAACTTTATTATCTCAAATTACTATATTTATTAAGTTAAAGAACAGTAAGATGAAAAGTACTTGAAGTAATGAAATACATAGGAAAAATAATTTTAAAAGCCTAAAGTACTAGAATTACTTGAAGATATAACACTCAATGCAACAAATAATAATTGCTTTATTACAGTATGCTTGAGTGAAAAGGCTGGTGTCATTAAATAGAAGATAATCTTCTATTTTTGGTATGAAAATTCAAGTAGATGCTACTACTACAGACCTCCAGAAGACAAGAGAGTATGTATAAAGTGTTAGCAGCCATCAAAGCATTATCTGCAATAAAACTATTGAAGCAATCTATTAACTGAACCACAGAATCACAGAATGGTTTGGGTTGGAATGGACCTTTAAAGTCATCTAGTTGGAACACCCCTGTTTGTGAGCAATAAAAACAGAAATGTTACTTTGATGTTGAGTATCATCGTTTTCTGAATCCCTCTGAAAACACCAGGAATTGAATCATGAGCACAATCATCAAATAAGTAAAATGTGGAAGAATTTTTATCATTAGGATATGATTGAGAGTCAACATTAATACTAGCTAAAATAGCTAAATAGCTAAATAGCTAAAATAGCAGAATACTGGAAGCTGGTATTTCCTTCTCAGCTGTCAATCTCAAGAGAATAATACAGAATTCCCTTCTCACCAGATGATCTCAGTGCACAATTTCAACTTTTGCTGATAATCAAGTGCCACAGAGAGTGTCAAGAGCCCCTTTGTCTGTGCCTGCCACCACTGATTTGGCTGGGGAAATGCTGTGGCAATGCACACTCTTCTTGATCATCTATCTTTTCAGCTGAACAGACACTATCCATCTTTTCCTAAAGAAAATAAACAAAATAAACACACTGCCAAACAACTCAACCCTGAGAGGTTTCTCCCCACACTGGGATGTGTCACTGGACATCCTAACTGCAAAGCCAACTCAATCATACAAAGTCTTTTCTTTTTCTTGGTTCAAGAAACCCAGCAGAGAGAACTTCACCAAACAATTTTTTGTTAGCATAACATTTGACATCCTATCTCTCTGGAAATCATACAACTTTGCTAATGCAGCCCTTACAGAATTAATCAAACAAATAGTTAGCCCCTAGTTACTATGAACCCAGCCAATTATGAGCAGCACTGAAATTTGTCACTGGCATGTCCAACTACATTTTCCAGCACAAAGATCAACACCACTGTGTGGAAATGAGGCCCCACTCTCCGACCTGCATGACTTGGACACTGGACTGGGCTCACCAGTAAAGCCAACACCTCTAGGAACAAAGTATTCTTAAAAAAGAAGGGCTTTCCTCTGGGTCTCCATTACCTGTTGCATTAAACCAGCCAGCTTGCAAATGTCTTTTACCCTCAATTTTGACTAGCAAAGCCAGAATGAATTATTCCCGTAGAGTTCAGAGCTCTTTATTTGCTACTCTGCTCTACTGCACGAGATCCACAGTTCAGTAAAGGCCAAACTTACTGCTTGGAGTAGTTTGAGAAAATAATTTATGCTCCACAAGCATGAGATTGACTAGAGGCTACTTTGCCCTGGACCTCTAAATTCCCAAAGCCCCACAAGATACCTTAGCAAGTCCCATGATAGGGACAGTACTTACAGCTTTTGCAAAAATGACCATCAGCTCAGGGAACTGGTGGGTAAGGAGGGCCAGCATGGCTGAAAAGGAACACAGGCCTGCTGTGAAATGGATGAAAAAGGGAAGCTCCTTCTGGGGGTAAACGGAGACTTCGTGAAATGCTGAAAGGAAAAAAAATGAAGAATGCTGACATTTGATAATCAAGGACTGCTTTCTGAATTATTTATGGCCTTTTAACGCATTTCTGGACTTTCAGAAGGAAAGACTCCTGCAGCATATCTTAGGTTCCAGTACCTGAACTTCTTAAAAAATTTTCCTCTACATCACATGCTTGTTTTCATTATTAAGAGTCTTCACGTATTTGTTTTCATTATTAATATTCTCTTCCCAGTTTTCATTTCTAACAGGACAGAAGGAACACCTGTAAAGTTCACAAGCTGTCAAAATTACCCAAACCAACTAAAACAGTTCAGGTGTCTTCAACTCTCTAGAGCTCTAAGAAGCTGAGCAAGTACAAAACAACCAGCATGCTGTATACATATATATTTCATAGTACTTCTTGAAGACTTCTGGCTGTAGACTACAGTAAATCTGTTCAGAGCAGCTGACAGAGCAGACCTCAAAGAAAACAGTGCCAGGACGGGGTTATAAATTCTGTACATAGCAGCTCCTTGCAATTTCCAATCTCTGGTAACAAAATCCAAAGCAGGTGATTAGCCAGGCTAAGGGTGGCATGTGGAGCTTTCAGCACTCACAACACTACTACTGGTCACTCGCCGAGGACCTGCTGGGTGAATTTGCAATTACTTACTGCCTCTGGATACCTCCAGCTCTGATTTCTGCCTAATGATTTCAGAAGATTTTTAAATGAAGAAAAAAATAGTTTCTATAGACATGAGTAATTATAAAAGGACTGCTCTTCTTGACAAGCTGTTTTTAAAATCTAACAAAAAACTAAAAATATAAATAAGCCTTTTTTTGTAAAATAAGAAAATACAATTGTATTCTTTATTAAATTGAAGTCTGTGGAGGAAAAAGACACTTTACCCTCCCAGTTACTGCTTCTGTATGCTAGCACATTAAAGCACCATTAGAAGAGTAAACCCAGCACAAGTGTGTTGTGCTCTTGCAATTCATTAATGGCGAAGTGCTCAGGGTTTGTTTTGGTTTTAATGCTATGACTTTGGAGCACAATTACATAGACTATTTGGAGATCCATGTCTAACATCCATCAGAAATGTTAATGGTACCTAGAGATTCATACTATACAGAAACTCACCTCATTTCTAAAACATGGAGCAATGTAATTTAGGAAAGTATTTAAAAAACAGGAATTCATTCCTTTTGCAGTAGCTTTTCCTACACTGGGAAATTAAAACCAAATTCAAGATAGGTAAAGACAACTAAAGCTAATTCTGTATGTTCACAGACATTTCAGCAGCGTTACTCATCAGACCAATCCAGGCTTTTTGAATCACTGATCTGGTCAACATTATTTTAAATAGATAACTTTTAAAAAAATTAAGTGTCAAGATTTCTCGAAGAAGTACTGCAATAAAAGTGCTAAGATGATTTTATTTATAGGTAGTTCTATATTTAAAACAAAACAGGAATGCGTGAGTGATCCTGTTGAAATATCTGCATGTGTTGGTGTTTAATTATGCTGGGAAGTCTACAATTTAGGGTTAGTTGCTAACCAAGGAATTCCTTGTGCAATATCCTGCATAAGTGAGAAATGAGTAATTTAAAGCAGTCTGGGGGCAAATTTAAATTACACATTTTAAATATAACTTCAGGCTTTTAAATAGAAACATGTCTGTGCAGTTTTCCTTTCCACAGCTGTGGTCTCTGTAGGGCTGCTGCTGCTTTTGCAGTAGCCCTTTCCAGTCCTAGGGGAATTGTGTTTCTTCAAGATATAGAAATTCAACCCCAAAGGAATTCAATTAAGATGTATAATTAACAGCTCAATTCTAATCTAAAGTAATGCTATTTTCCTAAATATCATGAGTACAGGCAGTAATGATAAGAGTCTATTTATAGAAAAAACCATGTAGGCTCATCACTGCATAAAGTAACCTTGAAGCAAAGAGCAGCTGGATGAGACTTACTTTTCAGAATCAAATGTTAGTATAAATCCATAGAAATACATGTAGAAAAACTTCCAGGAGGCAGCCAGCAGATCAATACAGACCACTGAATTAATGACAGAAAGCAATAAATGTTCTGTGAAGCTACAGGTTAACCAAAGATACTCTGTAAGATCACAGACAGGTTCTACTGGATACCCAGTGCAGGACTGGAACCATGGATTGAATCAAATCCATGAATTCTTTTCAAAGCAATTTTTAACAAATGGTCAACTTTGTTGTTCTCAAGGCTGGCCAGACTCAGCCTGCATGTACCACACACAGATTTCATCTCTGAAGGACTTAGGTTATTACTGCATCAAGCTGACATTTACCACACACACAAGTCAAGTGCTTCAGGATCTTTTGGGAGGGACATCAACAAATAGCTGAATCCCCTTCACAGGAAGCTCAAACTAAAAAAATCACAGTAAGGTAAATACAGAATACCACAACCTGAATATGTCCTTAGCCTGTGTTTTATTATCATTACTGCTTAGAAACCACTTACTTGGCAACAGTTCTCTGTCTGCTGTTTCTGTGCAGCTCGGGTAGGGATAGAAAAGATGTCCTTTCTCTAATGGGTATGGGATCATCCTAAATGCTGCAAAATGGGTGAGTGACATTAGATCTGAATCTAACCAGACAACCAGCTTCTCACAAAGAGAACCAATCATGTTTGAGGGGGGTAAAGGCAGAGAGGCTAGTCTACTGTACAGAAAAGAATAAAAGGAGATACTTACTGCCTTCCCATGTGCAGTGCAACAGATTTAGAGCCCCTTCTATCCTCTTCCAGTGCTGAAGGTGAAAAAAAGCATATGCTACTGCCTCACTGTCCCCTCGCTTCAGAATGTGCTCTGGAGGCAGCACTAGGCTTTTCATTTCTAGTAAATACTGAAAGGAAAAGTGGAAAGCACACCTGGTTACATGGAATGCTCCAAAACCTTTGAATGGGAAACGTAATTCATCATTTTAGCAATAATTGAGCATAGAAGGGGCCAGGGCCACTTCTACCACACGGCAGCCAGGCTGCACTAAGTGAGAAATGAAAAGCAGCAAAACACACTCCTGTGTGTATGACTCTTAAAATAGGCTTTCACACAAAAATTAAAAAAGTCAAGAAAAAACATACAGCTTCAGTAAGACAAATAAAAATACATTCTTGTGGATCAGACATTAAGTATAATGCTGCAGGTGCAACACCAATGAGGGACAAATTTAGGCTGATAAAAAACCCCAAACCAACAGTATTTTTGCTCATTACTTCATCACTGAAAGTTTTAGTGTAGGTGGTTGAAGACTTGTTACTTCTGAAGTATGAGCAGCAAACCTGAAAGTATCAGTGTGCTAACCAAAAAAAGAATAATAAACCAAACCAGGAAAATCTTTTAATGCGGTTTTACTGGGCTACCACAAAGTATCTTTGATTTCAGATTTTTTCAATTTCAGCTCTCTCCCTCCATCAGCAGAAAATCTGATGCTCAGAAGGGTCAAAGAACACAAGGATTAATCATTTCCTATTTCTTTGCAACACAGAACATGCAATTTTTTTAATGTACCACATTTTCTTATGGTACATTAAAAAAGTCAGGTATTCATTTGAACTTAGCTTTTAAAAACAGATGACTACTTTTTACAAGACTGAAATGACAGTTTCAGCTCTAGTATTTACCTGTGAGCTGTCCTCTCCTACCATAGAGTGTCTCACTCAATAACAGCCAAAGTTAATCCACATCTTTGATCAACGTAGCTGGCAATTCCTTGGAGTGTCCCCCAAAGTGTAAGAATGCAGCTAACTCACCGATTTATTTCAGCAGATGCCACAAACCATGAGATTATTTACTAATCCAGTTTGAGGACTTAACTTTTCCCATTCAGACTCTTCAAGGAATGTAGGAGGGGTTGTGCCCCAGCCAAATAAAGCACATTTGCTGCCTGGCTAGGTTCTTCTCTCAGTGCCTTGGGCCTGCACTCTGGAGGGTAATATTCTTGCTAATCCTCTCTAATCCTCTTCAAATTTTTTTTTTTAACACAGTAAAGGATCACTCACACAGCACTGCTGTGGGAAAATGGTCTCAAATATCTGACCCCTGACCCAATCCTCATGCTCTCCACAGTGCCCACTTTTCCATTATGCTAACTGGGAATATAAACCCAGCAGTGGTGCTGAAGCTCCACTGCAAGTATTGCCACAACACACCAATGCTCATCCCCAGGCTTGGGCCCTCTCTGAACCCATGTTACCACATAAACAGAAAAATTCCAGTCTCGCAGGTTTTCACATCCATGTTTATGCATAAAACAGGGAAGGTGTCAGTACTGAAGGTGTCTCAGTACTGAACTGAAGGTTTTGAGGTCTTTACACACAATAAAAATCACTAAGATATTCAGAAGATGTTTAAGATTGTTTTATAAAGAACCACAATGCAGTTAGATTTCTAATTTGAAATGGCTTAAGAGAACCACTTTTCTAGCTGGTTCTAACTTTCCAAACAAACGCCAGCCTTGTAAAAACAAAACAAAGAGAAATAAATTATTTTCCTTATGCAAAATGCTACGAACAAAGACAATCACTTTCATCCGATGTGCTAACGGGGATTTCCTGCTTTACACACCCATTTTTAGTCTATGGGGTAGAACAGAGTAGAAATTCAAAGATCAGATTTTCTTCCCCTCTGTGATCCACTGGGCAAGTTGCTTCACTTCCCTGCCCTTTTTCACCTGTTTGCTTTGACCATAAACATTTCAGAGTTCTAAACAGCCTGCACCAGTAAAATTCTGCTCTGTCATCTAATCAACTGGTGCCTCAAGGCAATGTTGTAATACAAAACCCACAAAGAATGGACAGATGTACAATTAGAAGAGAAAAGCAAGTTACTGAAACCTGGAATCAGTTTCTGCATTTGTCTGCAGAGTTACAGACCATATCTTAACAACAGCCTGCTTGAAATCATCTCTAACTTCTTTAAAAAGGTATATGAGGCTCCAGAAGCAACTGGAGGATACCCAAAACAAAAGAACTTTTAGATAATGATAATGAATTATAATCTTCTGCCCCTAAAGGCAGAGGCTAAAGAAAAATCTGTCTGAGACTGTCTGAAATGAACTTGCTACGCTCTTGATCAGTCATGCAAAGAAGCAGCAATTTCTCCCAGCAATTAGCTTCCTCAGTGCACATTCTATTGGATTGGACAGGCAGACAGAACGGAGCGCCGGATCATTCCAGCCTCCCCAGCAGCAGCCACTGGGGCTCCAGATCATTTCCAGAGGATTAGAGCCTGCCCTGAGCCAGCCTCCTGCTTCAAGGTTCATACTCAAAGCATCCCTAGTACAGTAAAAAGCAATGCAGGACTTTATTTTCACCCAGTGCTCTGTGGAATCTGTGTTTTGACGGGAGACGTTAAATTACAGCCTGTGGTGATATAGACTCTTCATCTTGTTTACACGTGGATGAAGCAAATAAGTGACTGCAGATCTTTCAATAACCATGGAGCCATGGTTGGAAGCCCAGCTGAATGAAGGGGTTTGGAATACTAGAGTGATTATTGTTTGGAGAACTTAATTTGGCTTTAGGGACTTGGAAGCAGGGTCCTGGAATGAGATATCTTTAAGGTCCCTTCCAACACAAACCATTCTGTGATTATTTTATGACATTAAATATCTACATTTATATTTATTAATGTCCACCCTTATTGAGAGTAAAGGGCCTTCAGTAATACATTACTGGATTTTCCAGTGTTAGAAAATTTGCAGTTTAAATTTTTGTGCAAAAACCCATGTTTGAACATCAGCTATTATTTTAAAAAAATCTGGCCACAAAATATTTATTATATAAATACTAATGTTTTTAACAACTCCATAGTGGGAATTATAATCAAATTCAAGAAAATATGTGGCTAGAAAGGCTCCAATAACAAAATTATATTATAATACAGTATTTTTCAGAATACATTACAAGTGGTCCAACAGGAAATAAAATACTTTTACCTTTGGAACATGAGGGTTAAATTCCACAGCTCTGTGAATTGCTTCCACAGCATTAATTTCTGCTGTACTAAGTCCTCTCCTGGAGGCAGTTTCTGGGGAGAACCTGAAGGGAAAAACCCACCTTGAACAAAAGTAATAAATAATAAACGCTAACCGGGTGTTTATTTGCACTGCAGCTCAGAGTTCATTTAAAAACTGGCTGATTTATCAAGAAAGATAAACAAACCCCTCTAGGAGAAAAAATATTCATGTTAAGTCAGGTATCTTGACTGCTACCCGTGACACATGAAAATTCATGTTGATCCTGACTTTCAGCTCCCTGTTACAGCATCACCTGCTGGGAGGAGGAGCTGGGCTCAGACCATGGTGAAATGCCAGCATCAACTACCACAAATATCCAAAAAAAAAAAATCCCAAGCAAAACACTGAAAACAGAACTTACACGAAAGCACTTGGCCAATACACGGGTTTGTAAAAAACATCCTCCCCTGTACTAACTTTATGGATGCTTAAAAGTAGTTTTAAATTGTATTTTATTCCACACACAAATATATGTGTATATATAAATACACTCAACTTGCTCTTAGAAATGTAATTGCTACATAAATAGGCATAACCAGGGATGTAAAAAAGACTAAAAAATTTAAATAATGCTTTAATTGAAGCAAAGATATCATTACAGATTAATTTTAAAACAAAGGATTTAGACCTTTTTTCCTTCATATTTTACATCAGAACCCAAGATCTAGCGACAAACCCTTGTCTTACCTTTCTGAAACAGCTCTGGCTTTTAGCAGAGCTGCTGTGTAACATATTGCTGCTGATTTGGGAAGACTGATATCTGTGATAAAATAAAATAATTAAGCTGTAAGATTCTAAGGCAATACAAACATTTTAAACCCACATCCTTTGAGTTAAAGATTTTTCCTTGGGTATGGGAGACAATGAATTTAACATCTGGAACATTTCAGCTGTGATTAGAAACTTTGAATTTTCTTTTTTCTGACAGTCACCAGTCAGTCTCAGATTGAAAACCCAAAGTTGCATTTAGGTGACAGCCACCTTTTGTTTCTAAATGTACTAACACACTGAAACTGAACCCAAAAAGAAATGTGCATATAAATACACTTAAGATTAGAATGCATTTCCTGTATTAACCCACAAAGATTTAAATTAAGCTTCTGATCTTTACCTAATTTTGCAACTGTACATTAACACAGTTTTGTACAATGCTGAGAGACTGACCAGAAGCTGACTGCAAAAAATGACATTACAGACAGGTAGATGAATCTTAACCAAAATGCCATTTCCGTTCTTCTGCAGTTCCATGGGGGAAAATTCTGTTAGTTGTAGCTTTGTAGCACATCTGAAGCCAAGTTTGAGCTGACAATTACAGATTAGAAGGTTAGCACTCCACAGTGCAAGTTTACTTTAAAAGCAGACAAAGTCTGGGTCTAATTCCCAAGTACCACGTTGTGTATAGTCAGATGGTTCTTGCTTTTCTTGTAAATCCCATCCTGGGCCTGTCCATCACTTACTACAAGTCTGGCTGTTGTGTCAAGCCAAACACAGAGGTGCTGCAGGGAGTTTGAAGCTTGTACTCATTTTTCCAGATGCTCAGAAAAAAAATCAGCAATGCTTTCTTAACAAAGTGTCACAGTTCCTGGTGTTAACAGAAAGAAGCACTGGGCAAAGTGCAAATGGTTTTCATAAATTTAAAATAATCCACCCAGAAGAGGATCAAGGAATGGGAGCAGGGTGCTAGGCTGGCCATGTACAAGTGGCACAGGATTTGGGCAAAAATATCATACCTTTGACTCCCTGAGGCAATAAAGAATTGACATAAGAGAGAAATCAACAACTTCTGACAATAACTGTCATAAAATACTGCTATGTCCCTCCATTCCAAAGGTGATTTAAGGCCCTGCTTTGAAGCAGCCTTTTGTACACTTGTGAAATGGGCACTATCCAGGGGGCAAAACTGAGTGCAATAAAAAAAAAAAGAATATACTTTATTAACCTTTATTTAGACTTACACAATATCCAAAACCTACAGTTGAGACAGAAAGTGAAAGCAAATGACACCATTTGATGCACATCACTGATCTCTGGCAGCAGCATGTTTGCACACTGCTGATCTCTGACAAGGAACCTCAGTACTACAGAAGCACAAGACCAAGCCTAGAAGATGACAAAAAGGGGAACTACCTTTTCCAGCTTCTTTACATCATTTACTTACAGGGCTATGTGCTGGCTGAAAAAGGCTGATGAATTTAGGCATATCCAGGGATGTAGAAGCGATTAATTAAAATAATCCTTGAATTGAAGCAAGGATTTCTTTACAGATTAGCAGTAACTTAAAAACACAGGAAGTAATTCATATGCAATTTAGTTTGCCTAAATTTGACCTCAGCAGTCAGAAGGAGAACTTGACCTGCACTCAGCAAGCACCTATTTGCTACTGATGGAGGGAGCCTGCTCACCTTGCTGAGGTCATGGGTGGACTCCTGCCTGTGGACAGACATCCCTTGCCCACCCCACTCACACTCTTATTCAAAAACAGCCACATTTTCCAACAGGCATCACTTACCATCATACTTGGCTAAAACTGCCTGGACATCTGCATATGCCTGTAACTCCAGAAGGGCCTCCAGGAGGTTTTCATGGATATTCAGCATACTGAGAAGTGGAAACTCTTTCATCAACTGCAAATCAGTAAAGAGAAATAAATTACATATAGAATTGCAGCTGAATGACTGAAATACTTAATAGAAATCAGTACAATAGTCTAGGGCTTTTTAATGTTCTCAGAGTGTTAGAGAATGGCATGGAAGCAGCATGAAAAGAACTGCATCCTTTCATAAAATCACAGAATGGTTTGGGGGGGAAGCAATCAAAGCTCAGCTCATTCCAACCCCCTGCCATAGCAGAAGGGCAGGGACATCTCCTACTAGACCAGGTTATACACAGCCCCATTCAATCATGAGCAAACTCATGGGGAAATAATTCAATTAGATTAATTATGATGCCTAGAAATGAACTTAAAACCATCAATTAGGACAATGTGATTGAAAACAGTTAACTTAGGGTTTTTTTTACTTTTACTTACATCTCTCATCATTTTTACTGCTTCTCGTATTCTCCCAAGTTTCCTGGCACACATAGCTAGTCTCCTTTTCACATACACCAGTACATTGGTGTCTCTTCCTGATTACAAAGACAAAAGCATTAGTCTATCAGTTTCAATCCTTACCTCTCCTAATTATAACCTTAGTTTCACATTTCTGCTCACACAAACCCAGGAGTTCATGTGATTCAAAGTCCTTACTCAGCTGTGCTTCATGCTGGGGGCTCTGAGAATGGCAGTTCTGAGATTTTCTGTAAATCATTTCTCCTGCTTTCAGAGCCTGCTTGAAATATTTCTCAGCATCCACAATAGTTGTTGCTTCTTCCTCAGCCAGGAGGACATATGCAGTAGCACAACTGAAATAAGAGAAACACCTACTAGTTACTTTGAGGTAGGAAGTTTAGTATTTTTATTAAGTGATAGAAGTGTTAGAAATGGGCAAGATTCACTTATGTTTAAGATGTAAGCATTGACAGTATTAAAATTCCAAAATACTGACTTGAGTTCAAAGGGGGAGGGACAGGAAAAAATAAACCTCTTCTGTTTTACAGAAAAAAAACACACACACCCCTCCCATTTGGAGCAAAAGCAAAGGAAAAAATTGTTAAAGCAAGTTAAATTATTTCTCCTTGAAACTGTAAAAATGGTCTGTAATTGTCTGGAAAGGTTTTTCTTCATTTGGTTTGCTTTTAAAAATCAGGAGGTTTTAAAACATTTTACACAAAAATAACAAGACAACATAGCAAAGTGGATCACAGTTGTGGGTGAAATTCTGTGCTTTATGCTACAGAGTATTTTTAATTCATTTACAGGAGTGGCATCTGTGAGTTCCAAATACAGTTCTACCATGATACCATCTTGAAATACATGATCTTATATTCAATTATGACCACTCCATACATTAATATGATTTCTCATTTGTTATTGCCACTAACACAGCAATTTAAGAAAAAAAAGCTGCACAAAAGATGTTTTTAGTAGAAGAGTTCAATATTTCAGGGCAATTTACAGCCCCATGTGCAATTCCCAGTCCCAAGAGTCCCCCTTAAGCATTCAGAACTTTGCTGTAAGTGAATTATTAGATGAAGAAACTGATAGTGTGCTCAGTATCCTTGCACTTAATCCTTCACACTAGAAATACAGCAGCTGAAGACACAAACTCACTCGTTGTTCAACTCCAGAGCTTGATACGCTGCTTTAATCCGGGCCTGCGGGTTCCTCTCTCGCCAGGCTTTCTGCATCACTGTAGAAAACACATGGAAAGGCTGGTGAGGGACATGGACACGTGTGAAAGACCTGGGAGCCAGCCCTAATTAACATTCCCTTCCCGTCTGAAAAGTCCTGTTTGCTGCACGATTGTTATAAGGAAGAACAAACAAACATTTTTAATTTCAGCCTGTTCCTACCACAAGTATCAAATTCGTGCAAAAGCTCAGTACACCCCAAATTTAGTTTAAGAAAGCAACACCACCAGGAAGATTCCTCGCTGACCGTCTCAGAACTCCTCCACGGAGCACAGACACAGCTTACATAACCAGGCAGATGTACTATTTCTAAATTGCTACAGATTTTTGGAAACATTCCCCAAGACTTGTTGAAAGCTTGGCAGGAGCAATTGTTAAACACAGGTTCATGCACAGACCTGCAAAAACTTTAATTTAAGCTTTCAAACAGAACTTCAAAGAAAACAGCGATGGAGTAAGTGGTGTCTTGCACAGGTAAGAGTTTTATACTTCAATATTAAACTGGCCAGAGCAGCTGCCCCTGGGTCCCTGAAGTGGCCAAGGCCAGGTTGGACACTGGGGCTTGGAGCTCCCTGGGACAGTGGAAGGTGTCCCTAATCATGGCAGGGGGTGGAGCTGGATGAGCTTTAAGGTCCCTTCCAACCAAAAACACTCTGGGATTCTGTTCCATTATTATTATTAGATAACTGTCAGATCATGAACGGTTAACAATTTATTTTTAAATTTACAAAGCACATTTGAGTGGCATCACAAGGCAAAGCCAATTCAAGATATACATTTATCATCTTATTTGGTTTGGGAACGAGTAAAAAGGGTGAAATCTGTTCAGAAGTGGCCTTTGAACTACAACTTGAATTCAAAATTATTTCAATGCAATGACTCTAAACCCCTCCTACCATGCTTCCATTTGGTAAAACTGGCAAACACAAACTGAAAACCAACTTCTAGGAAAACAACACATTCAGAGCTACCATTTTCTATGCAGGATTATTAACTTTCACACTAAAAACCAGTCCTGACAGAACTCCAAAACCTTACATTCATGGAGTTCGATATCTGGCCTATCTCAAGGACAATAAGAAAACTGAAGAATCTATACATGTTTCTTTTGGAACAAAACCTCCTGCTGTCCAGCAAGAATAACGTGGAAAAATATTTGAGTTTTCTTTCGGAAACAAAATATTAGTCTTGGCTCAGCAAGCGAGACAATTCACTCCCTTTGTGAAATAAAAACACATCTTTCATATCAAACATGTCACAGCCAGCTGACAAGGAACACCTCCGGAATGTGACAAATTGACAATAATTCACACCCACACTGACAATAACCAGGTAAAGAACATTTTCTGCACTAAACATGTGGAACACAAGGAAAAAAAAAATGGAGACTGCACTATTCATTACTAAGGTTTAAACGAGACCACATTTTGGCTGTTGAGAATATAATCTAGGTTTGCAATATTGTGTTAATTATTTGAAATGTGTGAGATCTTAAATATCAGGACTGTGACAGCACTAAAGTCGTAGAGAATGCACAATGTAAAACAACATCTTTCCACTAAATTTCACTAAACACGAAATTTCAAGAGGCTTGGAGCAGCCTGGTCTAGTGGAAGGTGTCTTGCAGAGGGGGGAACTGGATGGGCTTTAAGACCACTCCCAACACAAACCATAGATCCTCTACATCTATTAAACCTCTTTAGTAGCTGAGAAAGGTTACAGTTTCATGAAATATTTGACACAATAACTTGCACTACTTTCAAGTCCACTAAAAGCACACACTTGGCACTGTCCAAGACTTACACACCTTAGGCAGACATCAGTACCTGTGTCTGAAGGCCGGAGGGCATCCGTGTCACATGTGAAAAAGGTCTGATGATCTTGAGCAGACAAATTCATGTCATAGTAAGTAAGAGGCTCCTTCCCAGTCACCCACATGTACCTAAAACAACAGATTTCCGTAAGAGGCATTCCTAGTAATTAGCAATGCTGATATCAAGGCAATATCTGATGTGCCTAGTGCAGAAAATCTGAAATAAAAAACTAAAGCTACTAACACAAAATTTCAAGTACTACTGTTCAATCACCTGTAACGTTCTAAACAAATTGGGAACTGGCTTCCTAGAAAGTAGCTTTTCCCATGAAGTAACACTAGGAGACTTACAATACAGTTTAATAAAAGAGAATTTAGATTGAGAATCACTGTCTCAACCTCTGAATAAAGTTTTTTCCCCCTACTTTACTCTAATAAAGCCCTGATGTTACGGCAATATTTTTGTTCTTAACATTGAAACTGCCAAAGCTTGGCTTGGTGCCTTTTAAATACAGGATTGGTATCAATCACTCCTATAATCTTGCAGGTCTCCAGCTGTCTCCTGACATTACCAGTGCAAGCTCTGTGAAAAAGTCATGTGCAGGCCCCCGATTAAATTTAAAAATATGCAGTGGAAAGCAAGATAATTGTACCTGCTATACTCTGCCCCTCTGAAAAGATTGAGAGGATTTCGCCACACTTTGCACTCTGAGGAATAACAAAATAAAAGTATTTTTTAAATTAAAAGCATGGGAAATATTACCTTGACATTAAAATGCAGTAATGCAAAAGCAGTTGTTTTCAAAAGCTACTTTAATTTTATTATTATGCAATCATGATCTTCATAAACTTCTGTTATTCCATAAATATTTTTGCTCCCCAGCATTGCTGGGGTACAAAAGCACTGGACAGGAAGATTAAGCAATGCATGTACACTCACGCAATATTTACCTTTAGAACAGTAAATAACTAATGTTACTGAAAAGTTTTAGCTAAATGCAAAACATTTTCTAAACCATATCTTTAACAATGAATGGTTTAGACTGAAAAACCATTATTATTTAGTTTATTTTTAGCACTACTAACACAAGCACTAATGCAGAGCCAAAGCCACCACAGGCCCCCTCAAAGCTCAAGGAAAGCTCCCGGGACACATCAGGAATCACCTGGCATGTTCTGCCTGCTGGTGTCATTCTCCCCCGCCGAGAAAGCTGCTGGGGCTGGGGGGCTGCTCTCTGCACCCCCGATGAGGGGCCTCAGATGGCTCACAGAAACCTGCTCGATGAACGACGTGCCGTACTTTCGGAAGTGCCACCACTCAAACACCTGCCACAGGAGAAAAGAGCACCAGGAGGTTCCTTAGGTGGCACCCTCCCAGCAAACACTGGGGACAAAGAGGGCTCACAGCGAGGACATCCCCTGCCAAGGACCAGGGGTGGGACTCTGCTCCACACAGAGTAACACCAATGATCCAGTTTGGCCTGCCTTGCTATGCAGGATCACTCACAGAACATCAAAGAGATTGGGCAAAAAACAGCAACATTTTAGTCAAATGTTATGTTCCTCCCTCCCAAAGTCACTAGGGTAACTCAGAAACCCTTTCAGAAGTACCTGGATAGGGAAACTGTGAACAGAGGCAAAAAACACATTATATCCTCTTCTCTGGTGAGGATATTTCAAGCTGTAGTACCTGCAGTACTACAGTTCAACAGAGTAGTTTTTTCATTTCACAAAAATAATCTAAAAGAATGAAGGATAAAATGGCCCATTAAACTGAAATGTTCTGCTAAGCAGAAAGAGAGAGGCTAACAAAGAGACAAGGCAAAGTTAACAGCAGTTACAGCCACTTAGCAGAAATTCTGGGCCAAAAATATTACCATCTCTTTTTGAAGCTATTAAAAATACCTGCATATCACAAGCCCTCAAGGACCAAAGTGTCAGCCCTGGACCAGCCTGGATCAGGCCCTGGTCTCTCTCTGAGGTGACCACTGACAGGCTGGAGCTGTGCAGGGGAGGTAAACCACTCCAGCATCCCACACAGGTCATTTTCTCAGACTCCTACAGTCCCAACATACAACACACACAGCAAAAGAGCTGTAACAAGACATCAGAGAAGTTCCTTCCCAGCACAAAGGCACCCTCTAGAGTCTGATATTCATTCCCTTTATCCCTCATAAAGTCATCTGAGAGGTGCTAAAGTTGGTTTTGGTTTTTTGTTTTTTTTTTTAAAAAAGTGGGCTACTTACAAATATCAGTCCAGATATAAAAGATGAAGTTACTGTAAGGGCAAAGTAGAATTTTGGAGTCAAAGTGCTTAAGAACATGGTCACTGTTAAGAGAAAAAAATCAAAGACTTACTAAGTAGAACTGAAAAAGATAAATAGCTTGCCTATTAAAGAATGCCAAATATCATGCAAATACATTGTACACTATAGCCCTAGTAGCTTTAGAATGCTACACTGTTAGGGGAATCCTCACCACCTATTATTTTGTTTGTATCTACCTGTGACAGCCAATTTCTATATCCCACCAAAAAACCCCATGTGAGCGTAAGATGAAGCATCTTACAGTTTCATCCATACAGTGGCTGCTGGGCCATAAGAAGACAATTTAATATATTATTTCACTTTAAGACAAAATTATCCTGTTCTGATGCAAATTTATATTCAGTGCCAACATATGTTTTCCACAGACCTCTCCCTCCTGCTATGGAGAGCACAGTGCAGAGAATGCAGCTATGTACTGGTGCTCTGGCCATGGCCTGGACTCAAACTGCACCTCAGCCTTGTCACCTGCCAGCAGCACAGGCTGGACAGGGCCAGTGGCAGCCAGAGCAGGGCTCCAGCCTGGCAGGGACACGCAGCAGCACCGTGTCCCTCGCCCTGGGGTGAGGTGACAAGCTCAGTGTGCCACCAAGCGAAGGTGGGATGCACGACCTGCCCGCAGGCAGGGCTGGGACAGACCCACAGAACCAGAGTATCAATTAGTTTGGAAACAACCTTATACCGAGTCCCACCTGTGACCAATCCCACCCTGTCAACACCACAGCACTGGGTGCCAGGTCCAGCTGCTCCCTGGGCACCACCATGGGCACTCCACCACCTCCCTGGGCAGCCCATTCCAAAGCCTGACCGCCCTTTTCATGCAGAAATTCCCCTTGATGTCCAACCTGACCTTCCCCAGGCACAGCTGGATGTCCTGTCCCTGTTCCCAGGGGCACAGCCAGACCCCCGGCTGTCCCCTCCTGGCAGGAGCTGTGCAGAGCCACAAGGGCCCCCTGATCCCCCTGTGCTCCAGGCTGAGCCCCTTCCCAGCTCCCTCAGGGATTCTCCATCCCCTTCCCAGCTCCCCCAGATATTCTCCAGCCCTTCCCAGCTCCCTCAGCCCCTCTGCTGCCCCAGACCCGTCTCGTTCTCTGCACACTCCAGCCCCTCAGCGTTCCTCCTGCAGGTGCGCAGCACGGCGGGACAATCACCGCCCCGGTACACCGGTTCCCGGTACAGCCCGGCTCAGCCCGGCACCGAGCCTGCCCTGCCCGCACGCCCGGCTCCACGCGCAGGGCCCGCCTCCCCCCGGGGCCCCCGCCGCCCTCACCGGCCGCCAGGCCGTCCCGCA